GCACATAGTCTGAATAGATGCAGCAGCACCAGGGAGGGTCAATCAGCAAGGCAGCATTCATCTTTTCAGAAAAGCATCAAGTGCCGTGCTGCTGCTGCTGCTGCTGCTGCTGCTGCTGCTGGTGCTGCAACAGCTGCCTTTGCTTCCGCCACTGTCGCTGCTGTAACGATTTCTCTTGCTGCTGCTGCTGCTGCAGCGACTGCTGCCGCTGTCCCTGGTGCTGCTGCTGCAACAACTGCTGCCGCCGCCAGCGCTGCCGCAGCTGCGGCCGAGACAGCTGCTGCTACGGCTGCTGCTGCTGCTGCTGCAACAGCTGCTGGTGTCAATGTGGCAGCTACAGGCACTGGCGATGGCGATGCTGCTGCTGCTGCCTCTTCTGACGGCGCTGCTGCTGCTGTTGTGTCTTGTGTTGCGCAGCAGCGTCTGTGATGCTGCTTCTGCTGCTGCAGTTGCTGCTGCTGCAGCTGCTGGCGTTGGCGCTGGGTTTGCCGATGCTGCTGCCGTCGCCGCCGCCGCTGCTGCTGCTGCAGTTGCTGGGTTTGCTGCTCCCGCAGCAGCTGCTGAGATGGCTGGAGCTGCTGCTTCTGCTGCTGCTGCTGCTGCTGCTGTGTGCCCCCCGTGGCTCACAAGATGCGGAGGAAGAATGCCAGGCTCCCAAACTCTGGGCGAGTTGCTTTGGGGGGAGGCAGCTGTGTCTTGTGCCGCTGCTTCTGCTGTAGTTGCTGCTGCTGCTGCTGCTGCTGCTTGTCTTTTGCAGTTTTTTACTTCTGTCTCTTTCGTTTGCACTGCGGTCAGCCGGAAATACCTTCAGCGAGTCATTGGAGCTGTTGTTGCTGCTGCAGCAGCTGCTCGCGCCGCAGCAACAGCGGGTGTGCCGTTGCTGCTGCTGCTGCTGCTAGTCGTCTTGCTGCGCTGCAGCAGAACCCCCATGCCACAGCTGCTCAATCACAAGAAATTCGAAGCAGCAACGGGACTAAATAATTTGATTTTGTCAATTAAAATGCCTTAAAGGAGGTCCTTTTCCCTTGAGAGGATGGTACAAATTCCCAGGGGACATGAAGCAGCAGCAGCAACAGCAGCAGCAACAGCAGCAGCATGCAGCAACGACGGCTGCAGCAGCAGCATGCAGGGGGCTCAGGGGCCTCGGTATAGAAAGAGATTGCTTGTTACGGCTTCCGATTCCCTACAAAAAGCAATACAGCGGTAGTTGCGGCTGTTGTTGCTGCTGCTGCTGCTGTTGCTGCTGTGCTGCTGCTGCTGCAGAGCACATCCCCGCATGAACTGAGGAGCCTCCAGGGGGCCTCTGTCGAGGGGCCCCTCTCGAGTCTTGGGGACTCTCGAGTTCCCGCAGCTGCTGCAGCCGAGAAACTGTGGCAACAGCAGCAGCAACAGCAGCGGCAGCAGCAGCAGCAGCAAGGCTGCTTCCCAGTGGGACCGGGCTCGGGGGCCCCCTCCTCGGGTACCCTCCCCTGACCCACACAGGGGCCCCTTTGCAATGCTGTCTTTTTACTGAGGGGCCCCCTGCAGCAGCAAAACGGCGAAGCCCTGTCAATGCCTCACGACTCTGCTGCAGCAGCGCCGCGCGATGCCGCAGCGGGGGCCCCCGCTGCGGCTGCTGCTGCTGCTGCTGCTGCTGCTGCTGATGCTTTTAAAGCTGCGGCCGCTCCGCTCGCAGGAGCAGCGCAGCCCATTGCAGCAGCAGTACCAACAGCTGCAGCACCGGCTGCAGCAGCACCTGAAGCAGCAGTAGATGCTTCCATTCCAGCAGCAGCAGCAGCTTCCGCAGCAGCAGCAGCAGCAGCTACGCGGCCAACGGAGGGGCAGCCTCTGCTGCTTGGGGTGCATGCAGAGCCCAGTGCCCACATCTTAGCAGCGGCTCCAGCTGTTCCTGCTGCAGCAGCTCCTGCTGTTCCTGCTGCAGCAGCTCCTGCTGTTCCTGCTGCAGCAGCTCCTGCAGCAGCAGCTCCTGCAGCAGCCCCAACTGTAGCAGCACCAGCTGCAGCAGTACCTGCTGCAGCAGTACCAGCTGCAGCAGTACCTGCTGCAGCAGTACCTGCTGCAGCAGTACCGAGTGCAGCGGCGCCAGTTGCAGCAGCACCAGCTGTGACAGCAGCAACTCCAGCAGCGCCAGCTGCAGCAGCACCAGTTGCAGCAGCACCAGTTGCAGCAGCACCAGTTGCAGCAACACCAGTTGCAGCAGCACCAGTTGCAGCAGCACCAGTTGCAGCAGCATCACCTACAGGGGCAGCATGCGCGGCAGCACCAAGTGCCGCAGCACCGGGCGCAGGAGCAGCAGCAGCAGGGGCTGCAGGGTTTGCAGCCCCAGCAGCAGGGGGGCCTGCAGCAACAGCAGCAGCAGCAGCAGCAGAACTGAGTCAGCGTTTTGCTCTGTTTGGTGCTGCAGTTGCTTCAGCCCAGAGGGGCCTCCAGGGCCTCTTTGCTTTCGACAGCAGCAGCGGCGAGAAGGGTTTGGCTGCTGCTGCAGAAGAAGCAGCAGCAGGGGCCCCCGCGGGGCCCCCGGGGGCC